TGGGGTCGCAGGCCCGAAATGGCCGCTCGGTTTCTCCGTCAGGGCCCCTTTGTGGGGTTGTCTCTGGGCCCTTTGGGCCGTTTTGTGTACTTTCTGAGCGGTCTTGGGGCCCTCTTGGTTCGTGTGGGAACCTTCTTGGCGGCCTCTTGAGCCTTCTTGGGGCGATCTAGAAGGCTTCTTGGGCCGCATTGGACGATGTCAACGCGCAAGAGGCAAATGTGCTCAACATGCACGTTTTCCAGAAGGGAATGGGGCGGCTTTTGCTCTTTGAGGCCGTCTTGGGACACCTCTTCGGGGATTTCGGGGCGTCTTGGTGGCTTTTTGTGCCGTGTGGAGGCCAGCGTGAGCGTTTTGGATCGACCTTTCGGCGGCTCGTGGCCTTTGTGGACCGTCCGGACAGCCGCTTGGGGCCCTCTTGGCCTGTTTTGGGTCCGTCTGTCACCCCATGACGCATTCGGGATGTCCCTGGGGGACCCCCCCCCGCCTCCCATTCGACTGGACCGGGCTCCCGGGGGAGGGTTTTTGGTGAGGGGGAAGCATTTCACACGCCGATCTGGCCGACCCGATTCGATTTTGGTTTCGGCTGGCCCGATCCGATTCGATGCCGATCTCCGGACGACTCGATGCGGCCCGATATTTGCATTGCGTGGACGTGCGTCCTGGCCCAGCCGATGCGATAAGATTCGGACTCCATACTGATATGGCCCGATTCGATGGTTGTTCCGATCCGATCGGGTTTATCGATTCGATGGTGGCCGCTCCTGTCCCTGCAAACCTGGTGGTCCTGGAACCGTTTTGCGGCCACACTGGGACCACGCCTCCTGGGGGCATTTGGGGATCACCTGCGGAAGCCTCTGGAGGATTCCTCAGAGGAGGAAAAGGTACACACACCGCTACCCTTACTTCGTGCTCCCCTTTTGGGGCCTATCGGGGGGCCCTCGTCGCCACCGCTGGATTTGCTCCTGATCAGACCGCACCCCATGAGAGGTTCGCCACCCCATGAGAGGTTCGTTGAGTAGCGGTATCTGCGCCATTTGGTTTTCCATTTTTGGGGTTAAGTCGGGCGTTTCCCTCTACAGGAGGAAAATTCAAAAATAGTAAAAACATAGTTTTGGGATGATAATATATATATATATATATATATATATATATATATGTATATAAATATTTTTTTTGGGGGGGGGCTTTTTTAAATGTTAAAAAAGGGGGGGGGCCTTTTTTAAAATGTTTCGCCCACAATCCCCCTGTAGGGGGGACAGGCCCGACCTGATTCTGGGGTGTCGTCAGAGGCCCTCCAGAGACGCCCAGGACGTCTCTGGGAGACCTCTTGGAGGGCGAGCCCCCAAGAGAGGGTACACAGTATGGGATGTGCTGCCGAAGGACCCTAAACACTCAGTCTGCTCCGTGTAATGGTATCTTGTGGGCTTTCAGTGTCGTTTAACCGATCCGAATCCCCTTCTCCACCCCCGTCCAGATCCCCACCATCCCACCACCCTAGTTGGGGACATGCCCCTCGAGACTCGAAGGGAACAGCCTACATCCCCATCCAGGGGGATACGTCGGCCAGTGTGGCCCAGGCCACGCCCGTGGGGGGAGGGATCGGTTAAACAATGCTCAGACTCGCCTCTGGAGAGCGCGAGGGAGTGCCGTTCCTGCGACGCCTGGGGCGGTGGAGCGCATAGAGAGGCCGCACCCCCCACGTGCCCCCTCTCGAGCGACGAAGAGAAGTGCCGCCCTGCCGCGCCCTGGACGGGGAGACGCCCGGAGGCCGCTGGCGCTGCGCACCCCTTCTGGTGGCCTCGGCACCCTGAGCGCCTCATGCAAGAGTCGGGGTGACCCAAAAGGAGGTCCAACGACAAGGGGGTGGTGCAATAGATTTGGCGCAATAGATTCGTGGGGTGCAATACATTCCGGGGAGGGCAATACATTCTAGGGCGCAGATGTATTGCTGTATCTTCGCGTCAATACATTGCTTGCAATACAATGCAATACAATTCTCCGGCGCAGTACATTTGCAATACAATTTCCCCAAATCTATTGCACCACCCCCTTTCCCCTTTTGGGTCACCCAAAAAGAAGGCGAGGGAGGGTCACGGGGAGACGACGAGGAGGCGGACGTGCCTTCGGCGGACAGTCTCGGGCGCATCTGTGTTGGAGCCCACTGCATAGCCCCCCTCGGAAGTGGCGAAAGCGTGGCAAGGGCTGGGCGGGAGAGCGTGGTGTTTGGTCCGACGATGTGCCAGGCGAGAGAGCGGGGACGACCCACTGCGCAACCCTTCAGGAGTGATGAGACTGTGGCAGGGGCCGAGCGAGAGAGCGTCGTGTCGGGTCGGACGATGAGCCAGGAAGCGTAGGGACCTCCCCCTGCGCACCAGGAGTGGGGAGACCGTGGCAGGGGCCGAGTGGGGGAGCGTCATGTTGGGTCGGAGGCAGGGCGCAGGGGCCGACTCGGAGAGCGTCCTGCTGGTTCGGACGACGCGCCAAAAAGAGCCAGCCCCTGCGCGCTCCCTCGGGAATGAGGAGACTGCGGCAGGGACGGTAAGCCAGGAAGCCCAGGGACCGCCGCCTGCGCTCCCCGCTCGGGGGCGGAGAGCGTGCGGCAGGGGCCAAGCTGGAGAGCGCCGTGCTGGGTCGAACGGTGAGCCACTGACCTCAGAGGGCTCCCCCTGCGCCCCCCCTGAGAAGTGGAGAAATCCCCGCACCTCTCTCCTCTCTCCTCCTCTCTCCTCCTCCTCTCTCCTCCTCTCTCCTCCTCCTCCTCCTCCTCCTCCTCCTCCTCCTCAAGTGTGGCCGGGGCCGACCGAGAGAGTTCTGGGAGACTTCTGCAGAGGTCCTGCGAGGCTGCTCTCGCATGCTCGTCCGGGATTCCCGCGGCGCTCCTGCGAGGGTCCTGCCAGGCTCTTGCGGGGTCCTGGCATGCGCACTTGCACAGCACGTGACTGTGCACTTCTGGTGCATGCGTCTGTGAGTAAGAGAGAGGGAGAGGGAGCCAGAGAGAGAGAGAGAGAGAGAGGGAGAGAGAGGGAGAGGATGAAGAATCAGGGAGGAATGAAGCACGGGTGCGACGCTGGTGGGAAAGAAAACCATACCCACCTAGCATGTGGTGAATCTCACGATGGCGGCAGACGACCCCAATCAGCATAATTGAATCAGAAGAACAGGACCACACCCGGCCTTAGACACAAACTATGGGACCAATTACAACGAACGTTGCTTAGGAAGCGCGTTCGAAACAGCGATCCAATCAAGATGCCCAGGCCGGACGATCAAGACACGTAAGTGCAGTTCGATGTCAGTATCGGGCTAGCGTTTCATCTCTTCAGTGATTCTTCTGAGCCAAGCTGATTGTTGTCGATGTGCATGCTGAATCGTATGGTAATGTAAATAGGACTTTCGCTTTTTTTTTTTGTGTGTGTGTGTGTGTGTGATTGTGTTATATATATATTACATTTTGGCGCGTAACGGTCGTTACCCGCCCCGTGGGTAACAGTAACGATGGTACGTATTCGAAGGGGGCCTGGATCCCTTCCCCACCTGCTGGTGCCCGAAGGTATGTTGTGCCCGTCTATGGCGCTCGTAGCGCGCCCCCGCCCCGACGTGCCCTCGGCCCCAACCCACCCACCCCGCGTAGCGACCGCTACGTGGAAGCAATCACAAACACAATCTCCATGCGCACGTGTCTGGGCACTGCAGCGCGCGCTAGTGCGCACAGCATTGCCCCAACGCGTGCGCAACTAGTCACCATGGGTACGTCCTCCCTGCCGGCGGCGAGCCAGGGGGAGAAGCGAGAAGGAAAAAGGCTTTCTCACAAGGCTCGGAAGTTCCCCGGCCTTCTTAGACGTTTTCTCTCAGCCTTTCCCCGAAGATAGGGTTTCTGAGAAATTCCTCCTCTGAAAGTCACCGAGCGCGTTCCACTACTCGCAAAGTGCCTACTCGCAAACGTGTGAACAGCATATTTTTGCTTCGATGGAATTTATTTAATCGCTTCGCTCATTCCGCCGGCCCATACGGTCTCATGTCTGCCGTTTGCCCGAGGGCCTGGTGTCAATGCGGCGCTTTGGGGGTTCCTGGGGCCGCTTGGGGGACTCCTGGGGCGCTCGGGGGGGCATTTGGGGGGCCTCCTGGGGCCGCTTGGGGGACTCTTGGGGGCCTCCTGAGGGCCTCGTGGGGGCCTTTGGGGCCTCTTAGGGGCCTCTTGGGGCCTCGTAGGGGCTTCTTAGGGCCGAGGGCTCGAAATTTTGTTTCGTGTTCCCTCTCTGGGGCCCCTTTGGGGGTGTTCTTGGGGCCCTCTTGGACCGTCTTGGAGGCTTCTTGGGCCGTCTTCGAGCCCTCTTGGGCCATCTTGGGGCCCTCTTGGGGGCCTCTTGGGCCCTCTTGGGGCGATCTTGGGGGCCTCTGGGGCCGTCTTGGGGCGTCGGGAACCGAAAAGGTGGAAGCTCCAAAATCTCTCAAAAACCTAAGGAAAAACAATGAATTTTGCCTCCGGGGGCCCTCTTGGGAGTGCTCTTGGAGGCCTCTTGGGGCGTCTGGGGGCTATCTTGGGCGTCTTGGAGCGATCTTGTGGCATGTCGGACCCCTCGTGTACCATCTTGGGGGCCTCTTGGGGGCCTCTTGGCCTTTCTTGGGGCTCTCGGGGACGTCTCGGAGCCCTGTTGGTGCGCTCATGGAGCGCTCCTGGAGCGCTCTGGGGGACTCCTCCCGGGACTCTCTCAGGACCTTGCCGGGGTACTTTTCGTCCGTGGACCCCCAGGGGCCGCCCCGCGCGCGCGAACTAGAGAATTGTTAACCAGTTACCGGAGATCTTAGCACGCCTCTGGCCCGTTGGGCCGGCGAATTTTAGATCCCCCGTGGCGGATCCAGGCCATTTGCGAGTAGTTACTTTGCGAGTGCTGGAACGCGCTCGTCTCGAGAGGGTCTTCTCCTCCTCGCTTCCCCCCCGTCGCCCGCCGCCGGCCCTGGGCCAGCCGGGGGCCTGCTGGGCCCCGCGGGGGGCCCTTCAGCGGACCTCCTGCCCGCGGTGACGCACATCGAGGCGCAGGAGCCGCTCGAGGAGGGCGCCCGCGCGCCGATCGCGCTCGCCCTGGCGCCGACCCGGGAGCTCGCGGTGCAGATCTCGGAGGAGGCGCAGGAGCATCCCTTCCCCTGCCCACTCGGGGGAGAAGGAGGAGGAGGAGGAGGAGGAGGAGGAGGAGGAGGAGGAGGAGGAGGAGGAGGAGGAGGAGGAGGAGAGTTCGGGGCGGGCATTTTTGCACCTCACCGCCGCCCGAGGGATCGATTCTCGCGGACCTCCACGGGCGGTGGATATGGATATACGTTGGCTGCGGGAGGACAACGTAGAGCCCGTTCGGAAAAGCCCCGGCTATCATGCGCGTGATCGGCCCCGCCCCTCCCCCTGTAGTCACGTCGCGCCGGTCGTCTGGCTCATAGATCACCCAAGGAAGGGCTACCCTAGGGCTACCCCTAGGGCCTACCCCTAGGGCTACCCCTAGGGCCTACCCCTAGGGCCTACCCCTAGGGCTACCCTAGGGCTACCCCTAGGGCTACCCTAGGGCTACCCCTATGGCCTACCCCTAGGGCTACCCTAGGGCTACCCTTAGGGCCTACCCCTAGGGCTACCCTAGCCCTACCCCTAGGGCCTACCCCTAGGGCTACCCTAGGCCTACGCCTAGGGCCTACCCCTAGGCCTACGCCTAGGGCCTACCCCTAGGGCCTACCCCTAGGGCTACGCTCCAGGCCCAGACAGTCGTTGTCGTCGTCGTCGTCCTCCTCCTCCTCCTCCTCTTCGACTTCCACTCCGCCACAAGGGGCATCAATGTGTAATCCGCCACACAAGCAAGCAATGCCTTTAATGTCCCGCCCGCCCGCCCGTCAATAGGAATCAGCTTGCAATCCGCCACAGTAGTAATCAACTTGTAATCTGCTGCCAAATGGAATCACTTTGTAATCCGCCACCAAAGCAACCAATGCATTTAATGTCCCGCCCGCCCGCCCGACAACAGGAATCAGTTTGTAATCGCTGCCAAAGGGAATGCATTTGTAATTCACCACACAAGCAATCATTGCCTTTAACGTCCCGCCCGCCCGCCCGACAAAAGGAATCAATGTGTAATCTGCCACAATAAGAATCAGTTTGCCATCCGCCACACAAGCAATCAATGCCTTTAATGTCCCGCCCGCCCGCCCGACAAAAATAATCAGTTGATAATCCATCACGAAGGGAATTTACTCGTAATTGTTGACGCTTCGCGAGTCCCCACCAGCCCATCCAGAAACGATGCTCAGAGGAATTGCCTGGATCAGGGAAGTGCGCAGCACACAGAGGAAGCCAGTATGAGACATCTTGGGATATCCTGAGCCATCTTGAGCCATCTTGGAGGCCATCTTGGGCTCTCCCAGGCGCTCTTGGAGTCATCTTAATCAGTGCTCCCCCCCCCAAGAGGCCAACATGTGGCTCAAACCTTCGTGAAATCAGGGATTTGGCATTCTCGCCGAGGCCTCTTGGAGCATCTTGTGTGCCTCTGGGGGGTCTCTTGGGGCCTCTTGAAGGTCTCTTGGGGGCCTCCTGGGGGCCTCTTGGGGGCCTCTTGGGGCCATCTTGGGGCCATCTTGGGACCTCTTGGGGTCTCCTGGGAGCTTCTTGGGGCCATTTTGGAGGAGATCGATCAAACAAGAGGGGAGTATTAATTAGCGACCCCCCCAGGAGGCCCAAATGGGGCTCAAACCCTAGTAAAGCCAATGATTTTGGCTTTCTCGCCGAGGCCGTTTCGGCATTCTCGCCGAGGCCTCTTGGAGCATCTTGGGTGCCTCTGGGGGGTCTCTTGGGGCCTCTTGGGGGTCTCGTGGGGGCCCTCTTGGGGGCCTCTTGGGGCCATCTTGGGGCCATCTTGGGACCTCTTTGGGCCTCCTGGGCGCTTCTTGAGGCCATCTTGGAGGAGATCTATCAACGAAGTGCGGAGCATTAATTTGCCTGGCCCCCCCAGGAGGCCAACATGGGGCCACAACCATAGTAAAATCAAAGATTTTGGCTTCCTCGCCGAGGCCGGTTTGGACGCTCTGACACCTCGCGGCCCCCCCCCTCCAGGTCCACGGGGAGGGGGTAAGGGGGAGGGGTAAACCCCTCCCCGAAGGGGAAGAAGGAGGGGTGGAAGAGGAAACGCCCTAAACCACCGACGCCCAGAGGGCTGGTGGGATTCGTTACCAACGGGAAGCAATTGGTAATCCACCACACAAGCAATCAATGCCTTTAATGTCCCGCCCGCCCGCCCGACTAAAGGCATCATGTTTTTATCCGCTACCAAAGGGAATCAACATGTCATCTGCCACCAAAGCAATCAATGCATTTAATGTCCTGCCCGCCCGCCCGACCAAAGGAATCAGTTTGTAATCCGCAATGAAAGGGCTACCCCTAGGGCCTACCCCTAGGGCTACCCTAGGGCTACCCCTAAGGCCTACCCCTAGGGCTACCCCTAGCCTACCCCTAGGCGTACCCCTAGGGCCTACCCCTAGGGCTACCCTAGGGCTACCCCTAGGGCCTACCCCTAGGGCCTACCCCTAGGGCTACCCTAGGGCTACCCTAGGGTGTCCACTAGGGCCTGCCCTTGGGAAGCCTAGGGCCTTCAGTAGAGCCTACCCATGGGAAACCTAGGGCCTTCACTGGGTCCTACCCTTGAGAAGCCTCGGGCCTTCAGTAGGGCTTACCCTTGGGAAGCCTAGGGTTGGTAGAAGGGCCTAGGGTAGCCAAGGCCCCCGGTGATCTATACCCTATAGATCACCCAAGGAAGGGCTACCCTAGGGCTACCCCTAGGGCCTACCACTAGGGCTACCCCTAGGGCCTACCCCTAGGGCCTACCCCTAGGGCTACCCTAGGGCTACCCCTAGGGCTACCCCAGGGCTAACCCTAGGGCCTACCCCTAGGGCTACCCTAGTGCTACCCCTAGGGCCTACCCCTAGGGCTACCCTAGGCCTACCCCTAAGGCCTACCCCTAGGGCTACCCTAGGCCTACCCCTAGGGCCTACCCCTAGTGCTACCCTAGGGCTACCCCTAGGGCCTACCCCTAGGGCTACGCTCCAGGCCCAGACAGTCGTTGTCGTCGTAGTCGTCGTCCTCCTCCTCCTCTTCCATTTTCACTCCGCCACAAGGGGCATCAATGTGTAATCCGCCACACAAGCAAGCAATGCCTTTAATGTTCCGCCCGCCCGCCCGACAAAAGGAATTAGTTTGTAATCCGCCACAGTAGTAATCAACTTGTAATCTGCTGCCAAATGGAATCACTTTGTAATCCGCCACCAATGCAATCAATGCATTTAATGTCCCACCCGCCCGCCCGACCACACAAATAAGTTTGTAATCCGCTGCCAAAGGGAATGCATGTGTAATTCACCACACAAGCCATCAATGCCTTTCATGTCTCGCCCGCCCGCCCGACAAAAGGAATCAATGTGTAATCTGCCACGCTAAGAATCAGTTTGCCATCCACCACACAAGCAATCAATGCATTTAATGTCCCGCCCGCCCGCCCGACCAAAGGAATAAGTTCGTAATCCGCTGCCAAAGGGAATGCATGTATAATTCACCACACAAGCAATCAATGCCTTTCATGTCTCGCCCGCCCGCCCGACAAAAGGAAGCAATGTGTAATCTGCCACAATAAGAATCAGTTTGCCATCCGCCACACAAGCAATCAATACCTTTAATGTCCCGCCCGCCCGCCCGACTAAAAAATCAGTTGATAATCCACCACAACAGGGATATACTCGTAATCCAGCGCCAGCGGGAAGCAATTGGTAATCCACCACGCAAGCAATCAATGCCTTTCATGTCCCGCCCGCCTGCCCGACTAAAGCCATCAATGTGTAATCCGCTACCATAGGGAATCAATAAGTAACCTGCCACCAGAGCAATCAATGCATTTAATGTCCCGCCCGCCCGCCCAACCAAAGGAATCAGTTTGTAATCCGCAATCAAAGGGCTACCCCTAGGGCCTACCCCTAGGGCTACCCTAGGGCTACCCCTAGGGCCTACCCCTAGGGCCACCCAACGGCTACCCCTAGGGCTTACCCCTAGGGCTACCCTAGGGCTACCCCTAGGGCCTACCCCTAGGGCTACCCTAGGGCTACCCTAGGGTGTCCAGTAGGGCCTACCGTTGGGAAGCCTAGGGCCTTCAGTAGGGCCTACCCTTGGGCAGCCTAGGGCCTTCAGTAGGGCCTATCCTTGGGAAGCCTAGGGTTGGTAGAAGGGCCTAGGGTAGCCAAATCCCCCGGGTGATCTATACCTCGTCTGGTGGCGACCGCGGACGTCCTCTGGCGCTCGCAGGTTACTGTGGTGTTCAGAGGAATGTTGTTGTGCTCGCAGGGACGCTGAGGCACTCGCGAGGGAAAGTTTGCGTTTGCGT